AGGCGAAAGGTAGGTCGAGATCAGTAAACGGCACTGGTGGCGAACAATCCAGAACGAGAGACAGATACGTGGTCGGGACAAGAGCAACAGGGTTGATACCAAAAATAATCACAGGTAGTAAACAATCCACGGGGCAAGACGAGAAACGTAGTCCGAAGGCAAAACGATGAGGTCAGAAAATCCAGAAGGCAAAGTGAAAGAAACGCTAGGTAGAGCCACAGGTAGGGAACTCAATACCGAGCATTGATATGCGAGTAAGAGCGGCTTAAATAATGCAGCCTGCCACACAGTAAGACGTCTGAAGAGAATTAACACGTGTGGCGGCGTTTGTAATTATCACCCACCTGCTGGGACTGATTAGACCTCTTCGGAGCTGGTCTGGGCCGGTTAGTGGTCGTTACATAGCTAAGTGCATCCCCCTTTGGGAGCTTGTTTCTTATCAAAAGAAAACATCTTAAATTAGCCTGCATGAATAGTTTTTCTGTGGCTGCACCACAGAGATGAACAGAGAAATGGGGCCTCATTTGGGAAAGCCCAGAACACTTAATTCTTTCTTATTATTAAGCCTCACCGCTACACTGTTCATCAATATGTCATTTGTTTATCAAATACTGTAGGCAGAAAGTAATGTCCTTTTAAACTTTACTAATTTTTTTAACTTTACCCAGTTTTTAATGAAAACATGGTTGGATTGACAGCATCTCTTCTTCTCCTCTACTACTCTAAGTCATACTCTTCCATTATGTCACTTCCCGAAAAAGTTATAAGTACTGTACCATGGAATGACCCTCTCTTTTCCTTGCATTCGCCTTTCTGCATCCTTCCTCCATCTGGTCTCCACTGTTGCAGCTATCTGTCTGCGAAGTCCTCACTCTGCATGGTGTTCCTAACTTCCACCTATTAGCAGGTGGTTGACTAATCAGGCCAAGCAGGTGAAAACAAAGACTTTTTTGTGTAACTTCTCAATAAACATTCCCAAAAGAATTTTCTTATAGGCTGTTGTTATTCTTTGTTAAACTCTGCCAATTACAAAGCAAGGTAAGATGCTTTTCACTTCACAGTCACTGACTCTTTTGTAGTATCAGGTCCTAAAGCGGAGTTTGCAAACAATGCTGAAACAGAAAGAGGTTAAGGACCTGGTGGTATGATGACAAGACCACAGCCTCTCCGTCAACGTCAACAAAATTAAGGAGCTAGATGATGATTTCAAGAAGCAGGTAGGAGCATGCCCCTGTTTTTATCAATGGGGCTACTGTGGAGATGGTCAGCAGCTTCACGTTTCAAAAAAGCATTGACATTTCTACAGATGTATAATAGGAAGCATTCTCACCATTCTTACAGTTTGGTAAGGTAATTGCTCAGCTCATGACCCTAAAAAAGTAAACTGGAGGTGGAGCCCAGGCCATATCACTGGTACAGAACCCCCCTCCATTCAGACCATCTTTACTACACACAGCCTCAGAATGGGAGATAAGGTAATTAAGAAAATGTAAACCACTCTAGGAATGCAGGGAATGCAAATTTTCCCTCTGCAGATTCTGCCTTTCTTTCTCAAAGCCATAAAACATCTGAACACCACCTCTTAATCCTTCTTTCCCAACTTTGCAGCCAGCTGCTTTTGCACTAAACTCACAATACTGTCACTACTTGGTTTTTCGTATTGTTCCATAAGATCACTTTATTGAATTTGTCTTTTCGCATACCCCAACTTGCTCTCCATGAGACACACAGACAGGGAGAGAAGCTTGGGGTCAGAGCGCAGGGTCAGCCATTTTTATGTGGCACGCCTGGAGCAGTTGGGGTTAAAGGCCTTGTTCATGGGCCCAATGGAGTAGGATTCCTCCGCCAGCCATGGGATATGAACTGGTAACCTTCCAGCCACAGGCTCAGATCCTTAGCCAAGGAGACACCACACTAGAGGGGAGATGTAAAATAAATACAAACACTAATGATACAGCAGTACATCACTATCCTCAAAACCAATGTTACACATTTCTTAGGTTTGCATTGTTAGTATCTAGAGACAACTGCAGCAGGCAGTAACATCTTTGGATAACAGTAACTAACTAGGTGACAGTAACTATGGTGAGTCATGAACTTTTCTTTCAAAATCTTTTTAATTTCTCCACATAACCTTCTGTTTTCATTTCGCATTGAAAAATACCAGATTGTAATGTTGGTGGTGTATCCCATCATTTTCTACCTTTGAAATCTTGAAGGTTGAAAGCGATTGGAGACCAAAATTCTTAAAGTGTGAAACAAAAAGGGACCATATTCCTATTAATTGCAATGATTCAGAGCTACAGTATATCCTGCTATACTGGTTTGAATAATTCACAGCAAATACAGGGGTTCTTTCTAATAAATATTCAACAGTTGTAAGAACATTTTGTAAAAGCTTGGACTTTCACAGTTACTTTAGATCCACATCCTTAAGTACAAAAATCCTGTGCAATGTATTTAAAAGGTAAATGTAGGGCATACCAAAAATAGACAGTAACAAAAGAGTTTATGTGGTTTTGTGTAGAAGTACATATACTGTATAGCTACTGTAAGTACAACTCTCACGGGTAATGGTTTTAACGTGTAACCAAGAAAGATAAGTTTAAATGAAAATACTGATTAATCTTTCCAAATATCATGGAAATTCTGAAAATTAAATTGTCTTGAATTCCAAACTAATAAAGTGCAATACAGTTTAAAGTATTCCAGTAAAGTGGAACATACAGTATATCTATCCACACATCCATTTTCTAATCCCTTCATCCAGTGCAGGGTCATGGGGAAGCCAAATCCTATTCCAGGAAGCAACAGGTACACGCTGGATGGGAGGCCAGTCCATCGCAGGGTAAACACACAGACACAGACACGAAGGCCCATTTTCCCAGAACCTGACAGTATGTTTTTGGACTGTGAGAGGATACCAGAACATCCAGAGAATACTCATGTAAACAGTGGGAAAACATACAGACTCTACACAGATAGAACTGGGGATTGAGCCCAGGGCCACAGTACCACAAGGGAGCAATGCCAGCCAGTGTGCCACCATTCCACCCTAGAGAGCATATAGTTTTTTTTTGTCATTTTTCTTTTTTTTCTGTTTTTTTTTCCAGCTCTTTTCACTGTGGATATGACTGAGTCTTCCTTTCTGGCTGAGTTTAGGGGGAACGTCACTATGGAGTGTCGATTCCCTACAGGGGGTGGCGAGACCCTGTCCAGCCTCAGAGTCTACTGGCACCGCATCCTGCCTGAGCCTCTCCTGGAAGTGTACAAGCTGGAGAGCGGTAAGGAGGACCTAAGCACCCAGCACCACAGGTATAAAGGCAGAGTGAACCTGCAGAAGGACAGGCTGAAGCAGGGCCAGGCTGTCCTACAGATGTCCAATCTCAGCATCTCTGACTCTGGGAAGTACAGGTGCATTGTTGAACAGGGAGGAGCTGACTATAAAGAGGCCACCCTCAATGTGAGAGGTAAGGAGAGCTGTTTAAGAACCTACCTTTTACACATGTTACGAAAGCTTATTGGGACTTTAATATGCACCTTACTGTATCTAATATATTTTAAACCAACTTCAGTGCTTCAGTATATCTTGAAAGCAGTATGATTAGATCTAGTATTCTTATTCAGTTCATTTTGTTCAAACACTGATGTTCCTGCATAAATTAAAAGTGCATTATGTGTGCTTCTTTAGTCTTCAGTCACCGTGTTTACTTGAATACTGCAGTCCCAAAAAGGAAAGAAAAATCTGAAGAGATATAATGTAGAAAAATATCAAAGGAATTCTGATTATAAAATTAATGCAACAAAGACATGTAACATTGTTTTTTGTTGTATTATTCTGGAAATGCAATGCACTATATTTATTCAGTATATCAGCATTCAAATGTCAGCATTCAAAATGCAGAACAACTTCTTCCTTTTTGCTTCATGTACTATGGCCTAAAATAGCCTGAGAATGCTAAAAAAAATTTTAAGAATGCACACTATTCACCATTATCTTCATGAGTGGGTGTGGGCCTCTTTAAGGCTGTTTAGGTGTCATATACTCTTTGACTTTGTACTTGTGGATCTTAAATAATTATTCTGTTTTTAGTTGTATATTTCTTGTCACAGGGATTTCAAATTTCCACTATTTTCCAGCTGGCTTTCTTAAACATAAAAATTGAAAGTGAAGGTAAACATATATTTTATTGTTAAATATGTTCTTGGAACTTTATGTTATATGGAAAATAATGTATGAAATGTTCAATCATCATACTGAAATCACACAATACTTGATCATCATAAAACACAATATTGCCAGTCATTACCCAAGAATCCCATCCGACCCATAGTGGTAGGAATTACATACCTGTTGTGGTACATCCCATGATTCCTGAAGACTGTAAAGTAGTAACAGACCAGGCCTTTTCTTCTGTGAATTGTTGCATGGGAAAAAATCTGATAAAAGCTATCTCACAGGAGGCATAATTGTTGCTCTACATTGATGATGGTAACAGCAGGCATGGCGTTTCAGACAGCCTCAAGGATTTATGGGCAGTGGTGGCATGATAAAAACATTGATATGAAACATAACAATTGAAACATAAACTCAACAGACATTAATAAATAGAATTGATGCTTCAATTTATTGCTGCTGGAATTGCCACTGGAAATAGACCAACTCACCGTTAGGGTAATCTCTTATATTTCAGTAGGGAAGGATTATTACTGTTGTTATTGGATGAGATTTATAATACAATAAACAGAGTCCAATGTGTTGGTAAGTGAGCCTGTTTAGCAGTACTAGTATTACTATTCGGAATAGAACAGAATATACCATTCCAGGTTCATCCTGCTTTCTGCCATACAGATGTTTACCAGATCTGTGATCTATGTCACATTTAGTTTTTTATTTTCTCCTGGATGAATTTTCTCCTTAATGAACATTTATGGTCATGATTGTCAACTGAATGGAGAAAACAGGACAATGTAGCATCTGTAAAACAAAATATTTACATTGTTTCATATCATGTGGATTTTACATAAAAACTTGTACTGTCTGTAATAAGGTTACTGACATCACAATAACGCAAAGGAATCCTTTATTTTTACAGAGGCCAGGCTTTTTGTGTTTTATGTTGTATGTATTATCCATTTAAATAACTTTTAATTATTTATGCTAAAAATTAAATCAGATAGAAAAATGGTGGAAAATCGTGATGGAAACAGAATTCCCCAAAATATACATGAAAAATCACAATCAGAGTGCATAGTTAAATGGGGCAACCACATAAACAAGTAATTAAAATCACAAATTTATATAAGAGCAAATAATAAAGCAGTAAACCCAGCAATTGTAATCTTGTTGGCTGCCAGTAGAGCAAAACTAGAAACTAATTTCAGTTGTTTTTCATGTTAGCAGTGCTTAGCATGCACCTGTTTTCAACATCTCAGTTCCTTTCCACTCCAGACTGTTGGGAGAACTAACAACAAATATTTGTTTGTTTAAAACAAGTGTCATTGATAGGTGACCCCTCCAACAAGAATTACCCTTGCTTCATGCACAACTACACATCCTAGCAATTATGAAGTTTGCTAAGACCCTTTTTTCTTGCCACAGGTTCTGTTCATCTCCCAGAATCACCAGTGCACGCACAGACCAGCAACAAACAGTAGTATTGCTAAAGTGCCCTTTTTATTTTCTAGTGGTTAACAACATTCAGCACTGTCCACTGAACACTCAGAGCACATATTAAAAAAACACTCTAAAGACATACAATCTTGATGGGCCACAGATATTCAGTCAGATCCCAGTTACCCATTGAATGCCCCAAAATAATGCTGTTTGCGGTTCTGTCCTCCATGTAGTTCCTTTGATGGTTCTTAGGCATCCTCTCTAGTCCTGGCTGTGCTGAATAGCATGCTTCCCTTATTCCCACCACCGCCCACCTTGATTTCAGAGTCCAGTGTCAGGTGAGGGGGAGTAAGATGATTCTGGAGCTTTTCTCAGCTGCTCCCTGTAGAGTCCCTGGTGTCAGCATTCTCTTCTGAGTTGAATGCTGTGATCTGTCTTGGCTTCTCTCTCAATCACAGGTTTAGTCGAACCTACAATATTTGCAACCCCACACATTATCCCTGCATGGTGTGGTACTGTAATTGCCTGTCGCTTATGTTAAGAAGGCCTTTTATCTGGACTAGAAACACAATAAGGAGCAAAACTGCATCAACAGTGCTCCACTGGCTCATCGTGTGACTTAACATCAATACAGCCCTTAGCACCTGGTGCCCCCCCACACCCATTCTTTTCACTATGTGACACAGGCTCAGGTTAAATGTTTAAACTTTTTTACACAAAAAACAAGAAAAGTCAAATGAAATTTTTAAACTTGACACCAGAGTAGAGTCTATTTTAAATTAAACTGAAGACCTATCATATTCTAAAATAAACACCGAGCATCTTCTGTCTTTGTTCTGGTTTGTTGTCTTTCCTTGTGTAAGTTATTTTTCCACCCCATACTGGATTACCAATATGACAAGTGTGTCATTGTAGCCATTTTAGCTCTATTCACTGCTTCAAACCCAGATCCAATGTGGCACAGGTCCACTGGATTTAGTCTTTTTCTTAGTATGTGCCATATTGTTTTATTTCTGTCATTGTAAATTTCATCAAAGTTCTCTCTCCTACATACTGTACGTACTGTACAAAGACAGTGTGACGTTACCAGGACACTAACTTCATCCAATTCATGGTTTCTGGGAGACAAAGTCTAACAATCTTAGAAACATAAGCAATTAAAGGAGTATGAGACTTTAATACCCTGCTAAAACAAAGAAAAACCAATGAGCTTATACAGTAGCCAGCAGCCATATCACCCTGCAGCACTTAATTAGAAACGCACTGAAGCTAAGCAGGTGTGAGCCTAATAAGTACCTGGATGGAGACCTCCTGGAAAAAACTAAAGTTGCTGCTGGAAGAGGTGTTAGTGGGGCCAGCAGGGGGTGCTCACCCTGCAGTCTGTGTGTGTCCTAATTCCCCAGTATAGTGAAGGGGACACTGTAGTGTAAAAAGGAGCTACCCTTCGGGTGAGACTTAAAACCAAGGGCCCAACTCTCAGTGGTCGATAAAAATCCCAGGGAGTTTCTCAAAAAGAGTAGGAGTGTTACCCCAGTGTCCTGGCCGAGTTTCTTATTGACATTTACCAGTCATGGCCTCCCAATAATCCCCATCTATAATTGGCTTTATCACTCTGTTCATCTCAAAACTGAAAGCAGGTGTGTGGTGCACCATGGCGGAGGGGAGTTGTTGTCCTCATTTTTTTATTATTATTATTATTATTGTTGTTTTTATTAATAATAATAATCCAAATAATATCTAAATTAGGAATACCTTCAGACCATATTGTTTTCTCTACTGCCAGTGTTCTGGAAAAGTAGATGTTTCAGAAGGGTTAAGAGTAAAGACCTTAATTCATTGATTGAGTAAATTGAGAGTCCAAAGAAGACTTTTATATATTGAAATGTTTTTTTTATTTGTGTGATTTTTTGTTTAATTTTGTGTTAATTTTAAGTTAATCTATATTAGATTACTTTTGACCCCTTATAAAACTGGTAAACATGTAATAGCTGTTCAAAGGACAAAGAAAGGAGAATAAAGATATTTAATAAAGTCATCTTAAAGCCATTGTTTATACAGATGGTTTCATACAATATGTATATACATGTACATTTACAGCATAGGCCTCTTTAATGTTTCACCTTAAAGAGGCCTAGGCTTACACTAAGAAAGTATGTAACTGTTGTCAGCCCCATACAGGAATATAAAGACAGCAGTTACAGGGAAATGCCAAGGGCCAAAAGGCCACCTGGAGCTCAGCTGTGAAGCAGAAGGATTTCCTTTGGCTGATGTGCAGTGGACAGATATGTCAGGCCATTCCTTCAACACTACAACAACTACCCACAAAAAGAACGAAGAAGGCCTGTTTATTGTGAAAAGCTACTTCAAGGTTAAGGCAGGATGCGGAGACATCTACAATTGTACCTTCAAAAGCGGTACAACAAATGAGGAGACATCAGCTTCCCTCCTTTTTATGGGTAATGTTCACCAACTTTAAGATCATTTTAAATTCTGCTTTAGAAAGCAACACTGTTTTATCAAAACAAGTTGTGGATGTAGAGACCTTTGAGATCTTTTAGAAAGTAAGCTTAAAAATTAAAATATTAGAATAGATAAAATAATAGAAGGTAACTAAAAATGATTACACTCTTAATATAGACTGTGCCAGCTTGTGGCAACCATCAGACACCAGGACCCAATCGTTTTCTATTTTAAATAATCCCGACAGTAATAACTGCTAGGTTTGTAACCTGTTTTCCACACTGCAGATATTAGACAAGTTAAGAACGACAGAATAGATAGCAAGTCATTTTTCTTCCATAGGTTCATAAAAAAAACTAAAAGGAGGAAACAAAAGCTTCTTAAAATCATAAGAAGCTATTGTAAGAAAAGTTACAAAGGAGAGGAGGTCAGGCAGCCTATTGAGCCTCCTTAACAGCCCGATGACCTCATCTAGCCTTGTGTGAAAGGATCCAGCGTATGGGCTTCAATAACAAAGGCTGAGCAGCTTGTTCCATACTCCCAAAATGCTACTGAATCTAAAACCACTCAAGAAAAACTAGAAAGAGTCCTAAAAATCCTAAAAAGGCAATAAAACAAGAAGTCCTACTTCACTTCTCCTTGTGGCTAATCTGCTCAAGTGAGCGTTTCTCATTCTCTGTACCCCCGTTCCTTCTTCTCTCCTTAAAGGAGACAGTGTCAGGAAGGGCAGCTTCATATGGGGATATTGACCTCCCCTTCCACTCCAAGGGGCTGCTGACTACCACATTTTGCGACTCAGCAGATATCTCTTCTTTATGGATTTTCATTTTGGATAAATCTCAAATAGTACGAAACGATATAATAATAGCATCCCCACAAACATAATATAGGAATAAACCTGTGTGTAAGGGAGTGGGGCATACTGTAGCATCTCAAAACTACTGCACATTATCCCTTGTCACACGTTTCCTTTCATAGCTCTAGAAGTCACGTCAACTAAAAAAAAACATTTTCAAGATGTGGAAAGATGCTTAGAAGCAAATGGACACTTAAGTCTACTCCTCCATCAAAGAAGCCTAAAGATTTGGTCTCTACCAGGAGTAGATAAGTTTCTAATCTTTTTTTCTCTTTTCATCCATCTAATTTGCACTTACTGAAGAAAGAAAATAGATTTACAGATTTGATAGATTTATTTATTGCCTTCAGACAGGTTGCTACCTACACTCAGTAAAAGGCATCCCTGTCATTTAAGGTCTCATCCATCCTTTTTTTCTGCTTCAACCCCTGAACGATCAAATATTGACATTTTACCTATGTAAGGTCTTATTACTGAGAACACTGATTAAACTCTGAATCCTTTATCCATAAAACTCTGTTTAAAACTGTAATCAAATGTAATAAATATTAATTTTCATTCCTCATATTTCATGCCATCAATCAAGAGTGTAAATTGATCATGTCATTTAAAAAACATTTCAAAAGTAAAGCTTTGCTCTGTTGAAGAAAAATGACAAACTGCAAACTTCAGGTTTATGAGCATACTGTAGTTTGGTTGAGACCAAAGTATAGTGTATTCCCCAATCACTGTTGCCTTTTTCAGATATGAACATGACTTTGGAAACTATTGGAGCACACACATCTTTGGAGTTGGTGGTGCCTTTGATTGTGGGATTAGTTCTTCTGCTGCTTTTATGTCCAGGATTCCTGTTCATCATGAAAAGGAAGAGATCAAAATGTTTTCACTCTGCAGGTATGCTTGCAACTGTAGAAAAGTCTAAATGAAACCCTGCATTACAGCACCACCATTGGTAATATCATGTGTAAAAACCTGATTTATTCCAAACACGCCGTCAAACTGTTAAGTCTTCTGCACAAAAATACCACTGTTCTAAGTTTAAAATTGTGTTGTAATATAACACAGGAAGCAGAAATTAAGGGAATCTTCTAGTTTTCCAGCATTAGCACACAGGAACTAAAGTTAACACATCTACAAACCACTTTTGGATGTATCCACAGACCTATTTTGGAATATATAAAATGACTGTAAAATCTGTTTTGAAAGAAATACAAATATGTCATTGTAGAACGTTTCTATGTGTACTGTGAGACTAGCTATTTCCACAGTCAGATAGAAATACCCATGGTGTCACTCCAGAAAACTCAGTTCTGCTTTGTTGTTTGTTATAATGTGCATAGCCATATTCAGAGGGCTGCATTATTATCCTTAATAAGACCTTGATCTTGAGCTAACAAGTATTTTCCACAATTGATTCAAAATCATAGATTAACAAACTGAATGCTATAACTCCACCAACCTAATAATAATTAATTGTAAACTTAAATAATAGCACTAATCTAGATCAAGACAAAATGGTTGATAAGTATTCTTCTTGATGATTGTATTGCGACATTTTCTGCTTTTCTCATGTTTTCAAGATGTATATATCAGAGTACATCAATAAAATTAATGTTTAATGTTACTAACAATGCATGTGTGTAGTACAATTTTATATGTCATCGGTTAATAAAGACAAGATGGGAATGCATGAAATGCATGTGGGGGTGTCAGGAAGCATAAATCAGGAACCTAAGCAGACACTGGCAGGAGACGACTAGGAACTGGGTAGGTTGACAAACAGAGGGGCGTGACGACGGTGAACTGGTGCTCGGGGGGCGTGACCATGCCAAACAAGTCCGGGGGTGGGGGGGGGGAATCCGGGGTGAAGTCCAAGAGTCCAAAAACCAGGAAATCCAGACAAGACGAAAACAAGTCAAAGTTAAAAACTGGAACAGGATCCAATGCAGGGAGAGGGAATAAAAATGGGATAACGAGGCCAGGAGCTCTAAGCCCCGGACTCAGCTGGGTCAGGACGCCGATTGGAGGCCTATGCCCTCAAGTGTCAGGCGTAGGGCAACTTGGTGGTAGGCGGGCCTCTGGGTGTCCGTCTTCCAATGCATAGCCGGGAGTAGCAAGAGCACCAGGCTTAAATAAGGAGGGGCAGGATTGGAGGCAGGTGCACATGATCAAGTAAATTGTGAAAGAGCCGGAGCGCCCTTAAGAGGAGGGATTACAATCATGACAGGGGGCTCTGATGTCCATCAAGACGGCATGAAACAATCATTTCAATCTGTGTTCATACAAATATGTGACTGGGCTGAGTAATGATGATGATAATGTTATGCGGTCAGTCAGATCCGACTCTCGGAGATTCTATAGGCCATCTCTCGCCACGCTTTCCGGTCTTGGACTTTCCCTTTCAGCTGTTCTATACCTAAGCCAGTGTCCGTTTTGATGGTGTCGAGGGCTGAGTAATACAAAAGATAAATCCAAGAATTAAATTCATGAACAATATTGAATTTCATCAGTGCAAAGTTTAAATAATCCAACTCTATTATAACCTTTTTAGAATCTAAAGAAATTACTACTTCATGAACAGATGACAATCAGGTTAGCCAACATTCCTGCATCTGAATTGCAGATAGACCTGCACTTAGAAGGGTCACTATCTTTCCAATGAGATGGGGGATTGCTCCAAAATGGTATTGACTACTGAATATGTTTAAAATAATTCAATAAGAGAACAATAAGTTACTTGTGTCTTCCATTTTTGCATTGGCCAAACAGCCAAAAGAAAAATCATTCAATTTTGAAGGTTGTTCTTATCCTTATTATTCTAAATCAATTGTTGGAATGTGAAAATGATTAAAAAAGGATAATGAGAGAGATGTTTACTTGGCCGTTCTTTGCTTTCATAAAGCGTGTACGTGTCACAATCATGTCGAATTGCCACAACTGTAGCTGACTAACCCAACTAGCAATTTTAAAGGTGCTAGGACCCTTCTCCCTGCACATCAGATGTGTACCAGTGTAAGCCCAGACCAACACAACACAAGTAGATACAATTATTGCAGTATTATTCTACTAGATACTAGCAATAATAATAGATACCAATTACAATAAGGTGTCTCCTTCTACTTAAAAAAAAGGAAAAAGTATCTACAAGGGACACACTTCTAAAAAAACATAGTCCCTAGTAAAAATAAGAACTTCATTAAAGGAATAAAAACTAGGGGGCACTCTTTACACGCCACCCAGTCTGGTCTCTCTCCATTTCTTGTCACCTTCCAAAAAAACAAACAACGAGCCACCCTCATATAAAAACAAAAACTCCTACACCAGAATTCTCTTCCATGTGAGTACTTAATCAGCTCAGTCCAGCAATCGTGGAATGCTTCCTTCTACAGTGCGAAAGAAAGGAGAAAGAAAGTTCTGGACAGTTCTTTGGTCATCTCACTAGGATCCTCCTCCATCCCAGCAGTCCCAAACAATGTGCTCATTTAGACATCACTTACCCTGCTTATCTACAGAAAGAAAGTGTGAGGAAGAGAGCACGCAAGTCAAGTCCTCTATCTCTACTGGCTGGGTTTTTCTGTCTCCTTTCTGACCACAACTCCAGAACCTGGATGAAGGGCAGGAATGTGCAGCTGATCATATAAACAGTACATTGCCAGATATCATGGTATTCTGTCTTTTCTTCCTGTCTTTGTTTTCCTCTTTTCCTATCCCTGTCCCCCTGTGTTTCTCGTCCAGAGCCTAAATCTAATTAATTTTCTTATGAGACCAGTGTCCATCGAGGAAACTGTACACTTATGAAATAAGATTGACCATAAAGGAGAATATATGGCACTTGTTTTAAGTAGAGTATTTATTTTCAATGTTTAAGTAACATTTCTATAGCACCTTCAAAATCAGTTACTTAATTTATATCTGCTATACCTCATTACTTTCTTCAAATATTACAACTATGTTTAATGTTTAAATTTTATTTTATTCTCTCTGTTCTTTCACATTCCTTAACACATTTGTCTTAACTTTGTGGTCCTGACTATAGGCTGGCTGGATTATTCTCTTCACAGATCTTGAAATCGCTTGTTGCTTCTGTAGCATGATGCTACACACTACATAAAGCAACACTACATAGAACAAAACTCTGGTCATAGACTATATCCCACCTCAGTTTTTCTGTGAACAAGCAAAAGGTGTTTGTGGATTTCAGGCCACAATGGTCTGTTCTTTATCTGTTTTTCTTCTTTGAAGTATGTACTGTATATATATTGAATTTAATTAAAAATTACATTGTTGCATTTAAAAGTAAATCAATACATACAGTATGATTTCCACCAGTGTCAAACCTTTAGGCAGTCTTTGATATGTATTTTTTGTATATTTCTCTTTATTATAATATATATAGTAGTTTTATAAAAGGAGAGGTGGAATACATCATATGCACACTGGAATACTGCCAGCTCAACAACGGGGCTGAGGTTGAAATAAGGTAAATCTCTAGTTTGGGATCATAAAGGACAAAGGACTTTTCTATACTTAATACCCATTCAGTAAATTATTCATACTGTATGTATTATAAAACATGGAAGATATTATAAAAACATTTAAAACAGGAGATATTAATGCTTGTGAAAGGAATATTAGAAAATTAGCAATAGGAAAGTACAGTATAAGAATATGGTAAGCAAAATATTAGAGAGGACGAAATGCCTCACAGTAAGGAGACAATTGCTATCGTATCTGTCAATGACATGAATGGAGAGGGCCTTGTGTGGAGCAGCCTTTTGAAATACATTAGTAATGTCTTTCTGTGCTCCAATACGTTTTATTTCTGAAGATAAGCAACTCTATCAGTTCAGTATTCTTACCAGTACAAGTTGTGATGATACAAAACAGGATGATTCAGGTTACCTGGAAGACATCCAACAGAAGAAGTTACAAATACAGGAAATTCTCCAGTGCAGAAATACTAGCTGTATTAGAGATTACATTTTCGTTTTGGGCAGCTCCGTAAAATAAATATAGGGAAAGGGGAATTCTTCTGGTCAAAAAGGCACATAAAACACAGTCATGATTATATACTTGTAAAACAACCAATACTGGGTGACCTTACTTACAAGAGTTTTACAAATCTATTATTCTCTTATTCTCTTTCAGTAATCAATGTGCACGATTCTTTGCTGCTTTCATAAAAGCAGTTATATTATTGTATGTGCACGTTTTGTATTCTCCTGAATTATGATCTCCTGAATTTCTGATTTAATTGTAGCATAAAATTATATTTGATTGTTTCTTATTCCAATTGGGAAGACATTTTTGCATCTGAAACTGCCAAAAAGAAAGGAACAAAAACATACAGTATGTGGTTAATGAAAGATAAAGAAATATATTACAGAAAATACAGGGGGAATTCATGACAGATAATGCACATTTTCTTTTAATAAAATTAAATGTCAGTGTTTCCTGCTTTATGGGGAGAACTATTCATTATTACCAGGAAATAATCTCAGCATATTCCATAAAATATTGTTAGTTTCCTTTTGGCAGTGTAATTGTTTTGGTGCTTGTAGCTCTTAAGATCCAGTGTTTCTTCACACTTTCTGATACTCCAGAATGTGATTAAACGTTTAAAATGAACAAGGATTTTTCTGGGAAAAAGCTTTTGAATAGTCATGGTGATTCATTTCATTACTGGAAACACAGTTGTGAGAATCTGAGATCCTGCTGTGTGATTTGGTAAAATTACATCCAAGCAAATGAAATAATACTGAGTTATAAAATGAACAGTCATGTGGTTTCAGATACTGTATACTACTCATCTGTTATCTTTGTTTTCTTGTTTTTGTT